GACTCGAACCTGCCACCTTAGGTGTATGTGGCTGGCGCCCCAGCCACTTGAGCCGCAGGCGCCGAGCCTTTTGTTGGAGACTTTATAGGTTCTTTGGGCTTTTCTATGTAGACAAGCATATCATTTGCAAATAGAGACAGTTTTATTTCTCCTGATCTGTGTGCATTTTATTTCTTTTTTTGTGTCCTTCCTTCACAGACTAGAACATTTAGCATTACATTGAATAAAAGTGGTGAAAGTAGATATCCTTGCCTTGTTCCTGATTTTAGGAGGAAGTAATTTCGTATTTCATGACTAGATATGATGTTAGTAGGTTTTTCCTTGGTGCTTTTATTAAGTTGAGGAAGTTCTCCTCTATTGCTATTTTCCTAGTAGTTATCATGTAGGGGTATTGAATTTTGTCATTTTTTCCCTGCATTGATTAATAATGTGATTGTGGATATTCTTTGTTAGCTTGTTAAGATGGTGGATTATACGGATTTTTGAATTTTGAACTAGCCTTGCATCCCTGGAATAAACCTCATTTCATCATGATGTATAATTCTTTTTATATATTGCTGAATTTTATTTGCTAGTGTTTTGTTAAGGATTTTTATGTCTGTACTCATGAGGGATATGAGTCTGTAGCTTTTTTTCTTTTGTAGTTTTTGGCCGGGGCTGGGTTGGAACCTGCCACCTCTGGCATATGGAGCCAGCGCCCTACTCCTCTGAGCCACAGGTGCCACCCTGTAGCTTTCTTTTTTCATATTGGCTTTGTCTGGTTTTGGTGTCAGTATAATACCAGTGTCATAAAATGAATGGAAGTATTTTTCCTTATTTTCTGGGACAGCTTTTGTAGGATTAGTGTTAATTTTTCTCAAAAATGTTTGGTAGAATCTGCCCTGGAAATTTCTTTTTTGAGAGTTTTGAAATTATGTTAAATTTCGCTAAAAATTACAGTGCTTTTACCTATTTCTTAGTTGTGGTAGATTGTGGTTTTTGAGAAGTTGTTCCCTTCATGTAAGTTGTCAGACTTCTGTGTGGGCAGTTGTTCCAATGTTGGTTTTCATTCCTGATGTTGGTAATTTGTGTCTTCTCTCTCTCTTTTCTTTGTTATTCTTGCTAGAGGTTTGTCAATTTTGTGATCATTTCAGTGAACCAGAACTTTGTTGCATTGATTTTCTAATTTAAATGTTATCTGCTATTATATTTATTATTTTCTTCCTTTTGCTAACTTTGGGTTTATTTTGCTCTTGTTTTTATAGGTTCTTGTGGTGAGGACTTAACATTATTGATTTGAGACTTCTTTTTTTTTATATGTGCATTTAGCACTAAACCTGTCCCTGGTGCCACTGCTTTAGCTGTGATTTTGATATGGTATATTTTCCTTTGCACCCAGTTCAGTGCATTTTTAAATTTTCTTTGAGACTTCATCTTTGATCTATGGATTACTTAGAAATAGATTGCTTGGAGATTGTCCTGTCATCGTTCTATTACTGTTTCTAGTTTGATTTCGTTGTGACTGGAGAACGTACTGTGTATAATAAGTTCAGTTCTTTTACTTGTGTTGAGGCTTGTTTTATAGCATAAGATATGGTCTGTCTCGCTATATGTTCAGTGGGCACATGAAAAGAATGTATATTCTGCTGCTGTTGGATACATGTTGATGAGATCCTTAATTGTTAATGGCATTGGGTTCTTTATCCTTGCTGATTTTCTGTCTAGTTCTATCAATTGTTGATAGAGCTGTGTTGAACTCTGTAACTATAATTATGAGTTTGTCTATTTTTCTTTTCTTTCTTTCTTTTCTTTTCTTTTTTTTTTTTTTTTGAGATGGAATCTCACTATGTCACCCTCTGTAGAATGCTGTAGCGTCATAGCTCACAGCAACCTCAAACTCCTGGGCTTAAGCAACTCTCTTGCCTCAGCCTTCCAAGTAGCTGGGACTATAGGTGCCCGCCACAATGCCTGGCTCTCTTTTTTGTTGTTGTAGTCGTCATTTTTGTTTGGCAGGCCCAGGCCAGGTTTGAACCCACCAGCCCTGACGCATGTGACCAGGGCCTTAGCTGCTAAGCTATGGGCACTGAGCCCTGGCTATTTATTTTTGTTGTTGTTGTTGCAGTTGTCATTGTTGTTTAGCTGGCCCGGGCAGGTTCCAGCCTGCCAGCCTCAGTGTTTGTGGCGGAGGCCGTACCCACTGTGCTCAGGCACCCAGCCGGCCTACTTCTCTTTCAGTTGTCAGTTTTCGTTTCCCCTTTTTGTAGCTCTGCTGTTCAGTGCATACACATTTAGAGTTGCTGCATCTTCTTGGTGGGCGGATCTTTTATCATTATGTAAATCCTCCTTTGTCTCTGATAATTTTCTTTCCTCTGAATTCTTCTATCTGAAATCAGCATATAAACATGTAATTTTATTTAATTGTAATTAATTTAAATTTAAATAGGCACATGTGGCTGGTGGCTGCCATATTGGCAGTGCAGTTCTGGAATGTGGAGAGAGCTATGACACAGATGTAATTAAAAGGTAAATTTTATGGTATGTTAGAAGGTGGTAAGGGCAGTGGGTGGTTAGTGGAAAAGGGGAAATTGGGGCAGAGGGAGTGGGGTATGTGATTTTTAGTTGGATAGTTGAAAAAAATCAGTGCATGTGATACTTTAACAAACAAAGATTGGAAGGAGTGGGGGAGTTAGCAATGTAATTATCTTGGGGAAGAATATACCAAGGGCTGTCAGGGAAGTGGTAGGCCCTTGTAAGAACTTTAATTTTTACTTCAGTGATGTGGAGTACCACTGAGGCTTTAGCACGGACCCTTATTCAGTCTGACTTAGGTTGTATAATATGCTGCTATGTTGAAAATAGACTATAGGGGGCGTGGATGCAAGCAGGGAAACCAGTTAGGAGACAGGAATGAGAAGTGATGGAACATATACCCAATGGTTAGAGCAAATTTCAGTAAAAAGTAGATATTTAGTTTTGGATTTGTTAAGTTTGAAATGTTGATTAGACCTATCCAAACAGAGAAAACAAGCAGGCTTTATCAGAGTATGGGTAGTAAAGAAAATAATATAGATAGTAGATAGAATAAATCAGTAAAACATGTGCTATGTTATAAGATATTAAGGGTACAGAAAAAATTCATACGGGAAAGAGGGATTAATGGTGTTGGGGGACTGAGTTTCCAAGAAGGTAACATTTGAGTAATGATAAGAAGATGGTAAGTAAATAAATCTTAGAGGTACATACGAGAAAAATAGTTCAGGTAGAGGGAATGGAGATGTAAAGGTTCCCAGGGGAGATCCTGGCTGGTGTGTTTGAGGCAGAGCAAGGAGGCTAAGTGTGGCTGAAGTGGCATAGCTAGGAAAAGAGGGAGGACAGTGTGGACGTAGCCAGTGTCCAGGTTGTGGGCCATTTTAAGGGGCTCTTGCCTTTTACCTGGGGTGAGGTAGGAGGCCAGTGGATAGTTTAGCAGAACAGAGGTATGATCCAGCTTATGGTTTAATTGAGCCACTCCGGCTTCTGTGCTAAATAGACTGCAGGGGCAGGGGTGGCAGCAGGGAGAACGGGTGGAGACTGTTACAGTAATTCAGGCAAGAGGCTGGGGTAGCTAACTCATTCTAGGGTGGTAGCAGTGGAGGTGGTGAGGACTGATGGTGTTCTGGATATATTTTGGGGGTTATGCTGACAAAATTGGCTTACCAGTTGGATATGGGATGAGAGTAGTCAAGGACCATTTCAAGATTTTGGCCCAAGCAGTTGGAAGGATGGAGTTGACAAACTGAGGTGGGAGAGACTGGGAAGAGCAGCTTTGAAGGGGCTGTCAGTTTTGGACATGTTAAATTTATGATGCCTATTAGATATCTGAGCGTGGTGTTCAGTAGGCATTCTAATTATATTTATGAATACTGTTTTATGTTTATACACTTGATCTTAGCCAAAAGGCTGAGAAGTGATATTTTATGTTTTTAAAAAATGAAACAGTGGCATTAACAAAATGTACTCACTGTTCTGAAATATATTACATTTTGTTACTATCTTAATTTTTAACATGTTCAATTCTGACAAAACTTGAATATTTTGGAGAGGGAGAGAAATAGACTCCTTTTTGGTTTTGCCACCAGAGTTGATGGTACTTTCTTAGAGTTAAGTAAAGATGTCATTCCAATTTTAGAAGTGGAAATACATAGTCTGAGTGTTTTTAATTGCTTTCTATTTTAGGTCCTTTTACAGCGGGATTGTGCAAGATATTTAACCCTGTTTTCTTTGAATTATGACTTAAATATCAAACATCTTAAATAAGGGAAACATTTTAGTTTTGGAAGTCAGAATGCCAAGGAGAAGGAAAAATCTTGGGGGAAATCCTTTTCGGAAGACTGCAAACTCTAAGGAAGTTGTCGTGTCCAGTGTTGCTAGTCGTGAGGAGCCAGCCGCTACTCTTCCTTCCGTGGGTGAGACAAAAGTTGATCAGGAAGAACTCTTCGCCAGTATCTCAGAGATGTTTTCTGATCTGGATCCTGATGTAGTGTATTTGATGCTTTCTGAATGTGATTTCAAAGGTGAGAAAAAGTTTAGTTTGACCCCTTTGCATCATATAAGAAGACTTATGTACTATGCTATGACCAGTAGTAATATAGAGAAATGACTGTCTTATTTCTACTTCATTCTTCATTAATTAAGCATCTGCTGTGAGCAAGTTACTAAGTTTGGTATTACAAAGGATCTGAAGAATAAAGTGCAGTTTCTGTTCTTAAGAAATGTAACTTCTAGATGTACGGTAGATGTAACATTCTATGCTTTATCTCTTTTTATCTTCCCTCTAGAACGGTCGGCACTATTGACATTTTGGGCTGCACAATTCTTTGTTGTGAGTGGCTCTGCTGTGCACTGTAGGATGTTTATCAGCATCCCTGGCCTGTACCACCCACTAGATGCAAGTAGCGCCCCACCTCCCCAGTTGTGACAGTCAAAAATGTCTCCACATGTTGTCATTTGTCCCCTGGGAGGCAACATTGTAACTGGTTGAGATTGCAGTGTTATAGAGTGTAAGCTCCATAAAGATAGAAATCTTTAAAACTATTTTGTTTTACTGCTGTATATCCAGCCCATAAAACAGCAAATGACCCATATGAGGAGGCCAGTAAATATTTATTAAGTGATAAGGTAATTATAATTATGGAAATAAGAGCTGATTAAGAGTTGAGGCCAGTAGAGTAGTGTGGTTTCAAAATACTGGCTTTTGAGTCAAGAAACCCAGACTAGATTTCTAGCTCTGCTACTAACCTCTCTGAGTCTCAGTTTTCTAATCTGTTAATGAGAAAAATAATAGTATGTGCCTTATAGGACTTTTTTGGGTGAAGATTGAATTTTGTGGGGTTTTTTATTTTTGGCAAAGTCATCAGGATTATTAATATTAATAACTTATAATAAATCATGTAGTAGTATGTTTGTAGACAGGAATCTATATAAGTTGGCTGAATGAGTAAATTAAACGTGGATGGCTCAGTACTGTTCCTGGCCATGATTAATATAAGATAAAATCATTCTAGATTTGGAAAGTTTTGATAATGTGTGTTAACCTTCTAGTTTCAGTCATTGTGTAGCCTGTGACGTGAGCATATCTTACTCAGCCTGTTATGTTTGTAGAAAACCAGGTTTCAGTAGTGCATGTGATGCTCGGAAATGATAGTACATAGAGTTCTATAAATGACTTCAGCATTTATTTTCTAGTTTTGATGTCTTTAAAATGTATTTGTTGCACATACACTAACATAGCAATGGGGAATTACAAGAAAACTATGTTATTCTGTACCCTAATGAAAACCTTATTTCTATTTTCCAGAATCTTCTGTAGACCCTGTTTATAAACACTTGATATTTGAATAGTTTATATAACAACATCGAGTGTTCTGCTTTTTTAACTTTAAGCACTTTTTCAATGTTGCTGTGATCTATATTTATTTTTAATAGTTTGCTAATACTCCACTGTGGTGTTGTGTTCTGTTTAATTATATATGAGTTTTTCACGAACAGTTAATATTGCAGAGAACATCTTGCTTTCGGGTTTTTTCTTAATCCCAGGGCTTTATTTTCTTGCGTCACAGGGTAAGCACAGCTTTCAGCTCTTGGAACTGTTCTGCTGAATTTTCTATCAAATGAGGTGTCTAGTTGGTGATGCTACCAGCTCTGATTAAGTGTAGCAGAGTTGACATTGCCCTTTCAGCATTGTGTCATGGTATTTTGAGATTTTTAATAGGAATAAAATTATACCTTTTATTAATTTATGTTCTTTCTTTTAAAACATTTTTGTACATGATTGCTCATTAATATTCTTGCATATATTGTTCATTCATTTTCTTTGTGTTTTTTTCATACTATGGTTTTAATTTTTCTCCATGATCATGCAAGGACTTTTCTTTTTGTGTGGTATCTGTCTGTCTCGATCTTTTACTCATTTTTACTTAATGCTGTTTTTCATTGTATTCACGTTACATTTTTTAGTTGATCTTTTCTTTCTGGTTTTGCTATTTAAATTTTTTTCATAGACATACTTGTTTGCTTTTTTTTTTTTTTTTTTTTT